CCTACTCGGTGAACTCCTATTATCTAGAAGGACTAAGAAAGTGTACTGATTTTAGTGCAAAAGAAACAAAAGCAAGTTATGGTCTGGTTCTTTTCAGGTTCAAATGGTATCCGGATATGGTTCCCCCTAAAGTGTAGCTAGTTCAGGTTATACGATCCCAAATTACTTAGATTGATAGATAAACCGCGGAAAGTTCGTTACTGGTATGGATTCTCAACTATAGTTATCCAGACCCTCTTGGTTCGAAAACCCGGGGGGCGACTAACCTCCACCTGCATAAACTAACCAAGGTTAAACACCTGAAACTTCCACTTCGGGCCTTTGTTCCAGTACGAAGCAGTGAATCGAATTCTCGACTAAAGAAGTCGATTCACCTCAATTAAAGATTACTCTTTAAACCTATGCAGAGACTATCGTTCTAGGTTAAAGTCAGAATTACACAGGTTTGATCAGGACTCATGCAACTCTGAATAATTCTTCAACTGAATTTATCAAATCAATCATTCATAACATGGGGTTCATACAATCATTCCTAACATACACATCTAGGGTTCTTCATACCCAGATGAAATGGAAAATTACTCCATGGAGAGATGTGAGAACGTCTTGCTCGGAGTAGACATCATCAGAACAACAATGGACAGTTGCTCCTGGCGGCTAATCGGTACTCCGAGGTTGGGGAATCTAGCTCCGAGGTCTTCAGATCGCTACAATCCTTTCCCATGGGTTTTGCTTTGCCTCTCTCTCTCTCTCTGTGGCTCTTTTTATGCCTTTGGAAGTCCAAAAATCCAGATCCTTTGCAAATTTCCCGAGTAGACTTTAAATAGACTGAGAATCCACGAGTGAAGGCCTAAGTTACGGCCGTAACCTTGGTCGCATACCTGTAACTTCCTAGAAACGACGTCGTTGTGGCACTCCGTAAACCAAGAGTTACGGATCCTTTGGTGAAGTTACGGCCTCGACCGTAACTCGAGGGGGAAGGTCGTAACTTCAAATATGCTTCTGATCACTTGGCCTCACCACCTCGAAGTTACGGGCAAGAAGGGAGAGTTACAGCCCAGAACGTAACTTGAAGGATCTAGCCGTAACTTCCAGAAGCTCCCTAGAACTCTGTCTGCTCCACTATAAGGTTATAGGCCACCATGAGGAGTTATGGGACAGATCGTAACTTGCAAGGTCTGGCCGTAACTCTCATCTGGTTGATGTCCGTTTCTCTCCAAAATGTCCTGAACTTTGCTCCTTCGCGCCCATTCACATGCTAGGACCTAAAACATCATCAACGAACACAACCTAGCGTAAAATAGGCCACGAGAGAGATAAACCAAGCTCAAACGGTCAAGAATTGACGGAAAAAACATGTTCGAATATGGCGTTATCAAATTCCCCCACACTTAACCGTTTTCTTGTCCCCAAGCAAACCTAACTCAAACCAATGCAGCTCTCCAGACCTTTATAGTAACATGCAACCCCGATCGTCGGTAGAGGATTTCCTAGATCAATTAGCAACTTACGTGGTCAATTGGTCTTCTAAGACGTCCCTTATCTCTCTCAATGCCAGTACTATACTCGAGCCAGGATCATGAGAAGCAATGAAACTAGGACAACCAATTCATGGATAAAGAGACTCACAAATTTAACTACCAAGGACTCTTCGTATCAGGTGCTCTTCCATTCCATTTCATTCGTTGGAACCCCTTTTCATACTTTTGTTTTGTTATCTTTTGTTTTTCATTCACACTTTGTTGGGGTTCCAAACTGCAGTTTTATGTGCGGTCGACCCTTATTTATCGAGCAAGAGCAATTTATGTAAACATGTCACTCGCCAGAGTACTTCTTTTAACTCCTTTTTCTCGAATCGTGTGGAGGGTCATGAAATTAAGGGGGGTCGGAAGCTCTATCTGTGCCCTTAAAAACACATCCTCGAGTAGGCAAACCGCCCAACGGGTGGAATTTTTACTTGTACTAGAGACAGCGCTTCACCTTGTAAACAAATATTACAAATTACAATATATAGAAATTAGTCATATAAACATTACAAACATAATAGACAAAAATGACAAACTAGAATGATAAACAATACAAACTGAATTGATATTGGCTTGCTACCTCTACAATTCAATCCCGATCATAGGCCAAGTGTAACCTATAACCGGGTGTAGCATAAAGTAAATATTTCAAATATCAACCCGAGCGATCTATATACCCTTACTTCAGCCGTCTACAAGTTATCGAGCAGTCAAATTGTTGTTAAAGCCAATAAACAAAATAAACAAGCAATTAAAACAATGTTGCATTCAATCGAGAAAAAATCACTCAGACGATATTCCTCCTAGTCTCATGTTGAGATGCTATTGTGATACTCCAATGTGATAGATAAGCTTAATATGCTGTTAGGATCGCTAAAGTAGCTAGGACCCCCTACTCGAGTGCATCCTAGCCTGCTTAATCGATAAAATCATATGGACGTACCTCATACTCGCAAAAGATGACTAAGGCAACCAATTGTAATCCCTCGATATTAACTTGGAACAAAATAGAGTTACCAATCACAACTATTTATGACACTCTACGATGATTGAGGGGTGACCCGAATTGCACGAAGGGGATTTTCTCCCTCCTAGGTCAATTGCTCCAAAATTGAAAATTTTGATCAATAACACCCAATTTGCATGAAAATACCATATTAAATATATAAATCACAATAACTATTCGCAATAGAGTTCATAAACCACAAACTACAATATTCTGAACTAGGGTTCCTATCATCCAAGTGAAAATGAGGACTATTTCATAGTTAGAATATAACAACTGAAATAGAGAAAAACTCATGGGAAAGTGATTCTTCCTTTTCCTAGTTGCTTGAATGGACCATTGGGGGAGATATCTGCCCACCAATTGCCTTGGATATGTCAATTTCACCTTCTTCTCTTACTTGCTCGTAGCTTTCTCTCTCCAAACTTGAAGAAGAACCTCAAATCTCTCTCCAGAACTCTCACTTTCAATTTCCGCGCACGATATTTTATATAGCCTGCGAGTGATAATATCACTGTTACACTCAAATCTGTGAAATATGCAATGAAACCGTGAATACAACGCAAAAAGCGTCGTTTCATTAACATACTTCACGCTCTTGTTGATGACTTCACTATCAGAAGCCGCCAAATATGTGCAGTCATTAATACAAGCTAGGCCGCCGTGAGCAACCGTCTTTTACCCGGAAAAAAAAGAAGAGAAGATAGACAATATGTGGTGGGTGGTGGGGATTAGGGCTAGAAGTTTGGTACCGTATGTGAGATATACTCAAGATCGGACCCAGGGGTATTTGGGTTGTCCTGGGACATTCCTAAATTTTGTGAAAATGATTATACCACCTCCGGTAGTAATTTATGTATCGATGGAAAAAATTACAATTGATAGTTGGGGACACCCTTGAAATTTGAGAAAAATGATTATCCTACTCTCATTTTTTAGTTTGTGTATGAGAATATAAGTGGTAGTTTGGATAATTCAAATCTAAGACACTAGTATTATTAATAAACATAATTTACACTCATTTGTTGTTTGATTATAAACACTGTGTAATAGTAAAATGCCATTCTCTATCTCTAATTATTTTCAAAACTTAACAAGTAAACTTTCAAGCTACCCTTAATTTGTATTGATTTTATGGTTGTATGACAAGTACTAAAATAGTCTTTTCAGTTTTGGTAACATCAAGAACAAGTTTAAAAATCAAATATGCTATTAGTTCGTGAATGATTGTCTAGTAGGATATGCAGAGATAATTGTTTTTAGCAGTGTAGACACCAAGTGTACTCTATAATTATTTGCGAATATGAAACACATCGCTGGACTTTTTTTTAACTTGTACAAGTCAAGTACTTTGTTAGTTAAGAATGATTTTATTTTTATTTTTATTTAATTTATTTTTTAAAAGATGACACCGCTATGTAAAATTCCTGGGTCCGCCACTGGATATACTGAATACGCTGCCGAACTTATCAGTATTTTGTATTACCGAATATCAAGTTATTTTTAAGGGTCGGGGATTGGGATTCATTAATCATTATGGAGTGCTATTCGGGATTGGAATCGATATATACCAAAATACCGAGAAACAAGGAAAATTAAAAATTAATGAAATATAGTAAACAACCTTTGACATTTCTCACTCTTTCACAACTCACAAATCCGCATCCAACTCAATTTTAGCTTTCAAGTTTAAGTCTCTCGTATCTCACCTATCTCTTGTTATTTTAATAATACAAAAAAAAACAGTAGTCGTCTATCGACCTCCAATTCGTCGAATTAAAGATATGAGATACCTAATGACATGAACTTGATATATGTCACCTCTCCTCCATTCCCCTTATCCATGTACTAGCTCTAAGCAAACTCAACTCTTTGCTAAGTCTCTGTGCCCTAAATTAAATAATAAAATCTAATTTATATATTTAACTATCGATTGTAAAGTTAATTAATTTCATATTCGATAATACTGAATGTGATACCAGAATAGCTATTGGAATACCAAAATATTTAGGAATTGAGATGAGATACCTAAATAATTTAGTGATTGAGACTGATATTGATTTTAGAATTTAATTCGAAATTTGGAATTTCGGTATTCAATATTGAGTTACGGATATCGTATCGATTTGTTTGTACCCTAGTGGGCGCATTTTGAAGCAAATGCAAATGGTGCGATGGAAATGGGAAGGAAGTATTGGGGTAGGGTCGGGTCGGGAGACCGGAGGTTTGGCGAGGAAAGGGTAGCGACGTAGCGTGAAAAAAGGGATGGTGTCAGAAGAAGGCAAAGCCTTTCAGGCTCTGACACCCGTTCCGTTTTTAGAGAGAGAAAAAGGAAAGAAAGTGATGAATGATGCGGCAGCGCTGGGTCGGAGCCTGAACTGAATCCTCCGCTGACCCTGTCTGTCATTGCTTTTGCCATACACTTTTCTTCTCTTATCATGAACCCTATTATTTTAATATTATTTTGGAACAAGTTCCGGTCTTCCTCTTGTTTCAAACAAAGGGGTCATTATAAAAAAAAAAATGAACACAAAGGAAAGGGTTGGCCAGTTAGGTGTTGTGGTTTTCTTTCATCATCGACCGAAGCAAATGGAAGCGCACTCGATCGTCGTCCTCTGGTAATCACTCCTGTCCTTGTTGATTTACAAAAATAAAGTTAAAATTCATGGCTGTTTTCATTGTTTGGTGGGTAATGGCTGTGGGACCCGGCGGAGGCAGAGCACGGGCTCTGTTTCTGCGACGAGGAGAGAAAGAGGAAGAAGATGATGAGAGTGAAATTGATGAATGAGTGAAGGAAGGAAGGAAGGAGACAGAGACCAGAGCAGAGCACCATTCTCACACCGTTTGATGAATCTGCATCTCGAGATTGGCGCCTCCGCAGCTCTGCTATTCTCTTGAGTCTTCTTTTCTTGCCTGCATGTATCTATCTTTGTGATCAAACAAACAGAGGAGCCTATTTTTCTTGTTGTGACTCGCTCTATGTGTGTTTTGTTTTGTTTAAGTTAACGCAGCTCCAGTTGACATTTTTCTTCTTGTGAGTGAGAGTGAGAGTGAGAGTGACTCGGTGTCTGTTTCGTTCGTTTGTTGTTGTTGAAGAATTGGGAGTGATGGAATCAGATGCATGGAGGTGCAGGAGAACAGATGGGAAGAAGTGGAGGTGCGGGATGAGTGTGGTTGCTGGCCAGAAATACTGCCACCGCCATATGCACAGAGGCCGCCTCCGTTCAAGAAAGGCTGTGGAAGCCGCTGCCATTGCCCTTGAGAGACCAGCTCAGACTTCAGCGGACCTCCATCCTTCCTCCTCCAAAAATGCCCTCTTCCCCGCCCCAACCCTAACCCAGAACAACGCCGCTACGGATGCCCTTAAACTTAAAAGAAGCAGCGCCCTTCCAGCTACTCTAACCACGGATTTGTGCCCCACGCCGGCCGCCAACAACAACAACAATGTGCTTCAGCCTCATGGCCTAGATTTCTCCCCAAAGAGTGTCCTTCCAGGTAGGTTTCTCTGCTCGCTCAATGCTCATACTCATACTGCTCTGCCTTCACTAACTCCGACTTTCTTTTTGTTGCAGTTGAGCGGTGCTTCCATGGAGTCCTCGACGAGGCAGAGGCAGAGGCAGGGAGGTGCAGGAGAACGGATGGGAAGAAGTGGCGCTGCCGCCGCCATGTGCTCCCCAGCCACAAGTATTGCGAGAGGCATTTGCACAGGGGAGCTAAACCACGCCCTCAAACTTACCCACAGCCACCTAAACTGCCCACCATTGCCACTCACACTGCTGCACCGCCGGTCATTAATACCACTACTTCCACTACCAGCAGTGACGCCACCATTAGCGACGACGCCACCTTCATTGGCATTGCCAGTAGTGCAAATTCCAGAAACTAGCTAACTATTCCAACACAGGCCCTTTTCAAGTCTGTGTTGAGACTTCTGGTATGATATGCTCTAAGTAATTAGTGTTTGACAAGTTGAAGGTTTCTGCTACCAGGAAACAACTGATTGACTGATATTTTGATCGGAGCAGCAAACAAGTAGTGCGTGCATTCAGAGCTTAGTTACTACTGTACGAGAATCGCAATTCTTATGTGCTTAACTGATCCTCCGTTATATGCCCATGCTATTTCTGCGGCTTGTTTACTCTCTTCAACGATTTCCCCCCAAAAGCCACCCTTACAAACACAAGGGGGAACCAAAAACATAGCCTCGCCCAAAAAGCAGACCATGAAGAAACAGCTCAAATTTACGCCACCATGTGAGGGAAGCTCACTCCCATGGTGCCTTCTATGATTATCTTCACTAGTTTAGCTCATAGGTAGTAAAGGGATAGATGATAATATATTTCGACAATCAGTTTGTGACTATTCCTTTTGTGATACGTGTAAACCAGTTCAACCACCCAATTTTGAGCTAGTTGTTGACGAATTTCCCTGATGATGGTAGCATGAGGATGACCAGAGTCATCTTGCTTGTTAATAAAATCGATAGCTGAAACGCAATCAGACTCAACAATGAGGAACTGGATGCCTCCAATCTCTTGCATGATTGCGAATCACTCATCTATGCAATCGACTGTAGATAGTTCTTGTAGCTGATTCCACATAGCACTTTATCTTATAAATTCCCCCCCCCCCCCCCCCCCCCCCTACTTCAAAATAAAGCAGAGGAGCAAGCTGAAGTAGCTCCCCCAGCTATCTTCACGCTGATCTTCCAAGTTTTCCGCAGCTAAATTGTATCTTCCGATGATAAACCCAGGGAGATTTCTAATAGGAATGACCTTCTCCCAGATCATTTAGCAACCCGACAATCACGCTGATGATGAAGGTTTGTTTCAGGGTCTTCTTGGCAGACTGCACTAGCCACTAGGGGTGTACATGGGTCAGCTAGTTCGGGTTTAGCCATTTTAATCACCCGACCCATACACTACGGTTTAGAAAATATCAAACCCAAACCCACCCAAAATAATTTAAACCCTACGGTTTGTTTCTAATTGGGTTGGATCGGGTTGGCGATATTTTTAAGTAAAAACCCAAGCTAACATAAAATATATAATTATTCTACATCATAAAAATATTTTATAACTAATTAAAATTTCAAACGAATAAACCGAGGTGAAAGTTATCAAAATTCACAAATGTTGTTGAATTTGTAATAAAATGTGATTTAGTTCAACATATGTCTAGTTTTTTCACGATATTTGTTTAAATACGCTAAAAAGTTTATAAACCATAATATGTTATTCTATTAAAATTGTACACAAGAAAAAGGATTACATGAATCGTAACTATATTCAATTTATGTCTAAATTTTAAGTCGATGAATGCATCAGATTTATGGAGACCATGAGAGAAAAACATGGCGAAAAATCTTAATTTTCTCATAAGTATGCCTATATACGACATAAATATTTTTTAGATACGAACTCATACTAATATTTGGAACACGGGCGGGTTCTACGGGTTGTGTAATTCAAAATTCAAACCCAACCCAAAAGAGGCGGGTTGTACAAAATAAAATCCTCACCCAAGCCAAAACCTTCGTTTTAGCGATAAATACGGGTGGGTTGAGTCGGGTTGGACAGGTGGGTCGCGGGTGTGTTTGTTCACCCCTAGACTGCACATTTGTTATACTGCACATTTGTTATCCTTCGTCATGTGTCAATACTTCCTCACACTGTTCGTGGATAGTCTTCCTTTGGCCACCATCTAAATGAAGGAAAAAATCCCAAAATACACATGTTTTAAAAAAAATTCCCAAAATACACACGTTATAAAAATTTTTTCCCAAAATACACATGTTTGGGCATGACCTCTGTTGTCAACCACAGTGAATGCATTCACCGCGGCAGACCAAAGCGGTGAATGCATCACCGCGGTTGACGGTCACGGTGAATGCCTAACGTAACACTGAAACTTCAAACAAATGTAACTTTGTGCTCGGTTATCCGATTGTAGCGAAATTTTTTTTGATTCCACATAACTTTTCAAGATCTTTAAATCTGTAATGAGAATTCATCCCAAAAAAATAATTTGCTACCCCGAACGAGCAATTTTTCGATTTTGACAAACTTTGAAAGATCATAACTTTGTGCTCCACAATCCGAATGTCATGAAACTTTTTTTTATTTTGCATAACTTTTGAAGTACTACAACTTTTATTATAACCATATTTTTGGAAAGTATGTGGATTTGTGAAAAGTAAAGACAAAGTTATTCCCAAAATCCCGTATACCCAAAAATACTTCTTTTTTAAAAGATTATTTCCTAGTAAAAGTTGTAGTTCTTAAAAAGTTATGCGCAATAAAAAAAAACTTTACCACGTTCGGATTGAGGAGCTAAAAGTCCTTCCAAAGTTTGGCAAAATCGAAAAATTGCTCGTTCGGGGTAACAAACGACATTTTTTCGAGATGAAGTCTTATTGCAGATTGAAAGATCTTAAAAAGTTATATGGAATAAAAAAATTTTCGCTACAATCGGATAACCGAGCGCAAAGTTATGTTTGTTTGAAGTTTCAGTGTTAAGTCAGGCATTCACCGCGGCTGTCAACCGGGGTGATGCATTCACCGCTTTGGTCTGCTGCGGTGAATACATTCACTGCGGTTGACAACAGCGGTGATGCCCAAACATGTGTATTTTGAGAATTTTTTTTTATAACGTGTGTATTTTGAGAATTTTTTTTAAAAACATGTGTATTTTGAGAATTCATTCCCAAATGAACCCCCCCCCCCCCTAACTCTTTCAGGAACGTGCAGCATCCAGATCTTACGCCAAACTGGGTCGACGTTCATCAATTGTTGTGAGGCGAGAACTTAATTCGAGCCCAAATGTACACATTTTACCCATCATTTCTTATTCCTTTAGCTTAGCATTTCATCGTTCCTCAACATATTTCATGCTAGGTTGTGCTTGTTTTGATACATTTCAGGTCCTAGCATGTGTGGAAGGGTCGAGAACCAGTTTTGGGATATTTGGAGGTCAAGAAGTGCAAAAACTGAAGAAAATTCCGAAGACCGTGACAATTGCCCCGTTGTAGTGAAGTGAAGGTCTCCAAGAAACAGCCGCAGTTCACGGCCGGACGAAGCAGTTAACGGTCTCCTAAGACCGTGAACTTCGACCACAAAGCGTGAACACCGAGGCATCCAGCGGGGTTCATGAAGTTACTGACGACAAGGCAGTTCACGGTCTCTAAGACCGTGAACTGGTGCCATTGACCGTGAACCCAGGACAGTCAAGCGCTGCGTTTTGGACGACCCTGAGTTCGCGGACGCGTTTAGGTGTTCACGGCCGTGAACTGGCCAACGCGTCTGACTCGCTCCTACCGTCACTCTAGAAAATGGCCAAGTGTAACCACCTCCTAAAGCGTAGTATAGCGGGTTTGGGTTTTAATGCCAAACCGGGTCCTAAGTGTGATGACTACTCCGTGAGTTCTTATTATTTATCAGTAAAACTTTAGTGAAGGTCCAAACAAGCAAAGCAAGTAAAAAGGTTGTTTTCAAATGACACTTTTTAAATAGTTTGGGCTTCCTAGTGGAATTAGCCCTAATGTTAATTATAGAATGTTATATGGTTGGATTTTGTCAAATAGACAAATAACATATTAATTATAGTAATGTAAGTTGATTGTGTCTAATGTAAGATTTTGTTTATTGAAATCCATGTAAGCTATTGAGCTCGCAGATATCCTACTAGTTTATTTTGTTGGTATATCTAACATAAATGGATAAGAAAGTAAATTAAATATTTAAGTTCTAAATTCCAAATCGTTAAATTCATGATGAAAACATCTCAACAAATAAAGGTTTCTAACAAATCCTTAATAAAATGTTGTGTTTTAAAATTATAAAACCCTCATTTCTAAATTCACATAGTAAACTAAACCTTAATGTTGACAACAAAATCTTTACACATAACTTCAGCAACACGACTAAAACTTCATCAGACAAAAAAATTTTCCTTAAGCCCCTTCACTTCCATTTTCGTTTCCTGTTTTCTGTTTTCATGTCATAAATTTGACAACTCCTCATGTCATAAATTTGGTTAGGATGCCAACTCCTTCTCTAGCACGTTCATATTCGTCGGACGAATACTCATACCACCTTGATTGCAAAGTAGCTATGCTATTTGCCGCCAACCAAATAAAAAGTAATAATTCAAAATTGATTATATATACGTCTTCGGTGAGAAGTTTCACCTCCTACGACATATCCAACTCTCAGAAAACTTATTGAATCAGAAAAAATCGATGCTTGCTGGAAAACTCGCCAGGAAATAAACGGAAAGTCGAATCTCGACGTAAACTGTGGACATGCATCCATGAAACATCACTAAGCAGGTGCACCGATTTTTGGAGTTTTGAACAATTTTTCCGATGATTTCCAATGGACAGACTGCGGGCCAAAAGATTCCGGCGGCCGGAACCTGGCCGGGCTTTGAATCCGGCGACCGAAACCTGGATGGGCCAAAAGAATCCGACGGCCGGAACCAGGCCGTGCCGACGAAAAATGGTGGCCAGAGCCAGGCTTAGCAGAAGGAATTTTTCGGCTCGTCCTGGTTCCGACCACCATTGTCCGTCGGCCAGGCCTAGTTTCGGTCGCCGAATTCTTTCGACCCGGCCATGTTCGACCGTCGGAATCTTTTGGCCCACCGTCTTTCATTGGAAATTTTCGGCAAATTTAGATTTTAGGAGTTGAAATTAGCATTTAAAAATTGAATTTAGCTTTTAAGAGATGAACTTAGCATTTAAGAGCGGGTCAGATCCTGTGCTTAAGCCTATAGGTTTAAGCATTTGCTTAAAGCATTCTTATTGGCTGAGAGGAAATTGGGTAGTTAATGGAAGTTAGTGGTTAATAACAAGTTATGGGTAAATGGGGTATTATAGAAATATAATTAATATTAATAGTTAATTGAAAAAAAGGAAATAAAACCTAACCCTCACCCGGCATTACAGCCCATCTGCCAGCCCATTAAAACCCCTAACCCCATTTGCCATTCCCCTCTCCTCCGAAGCCATTCGCCGGCCGCCATCCTGCCATTAGAGTCGCCGTCCATGTATGACCAGATGAAGACGCCGGCAAGCCACCATTCAACAATCACCGCCATTACATTTACAACCACCATCCCCCGCTCGCCATTGTTGCCGCCAATCACAAAGCACGAAGGCACCGGCAAGAAATCGTCCGGTATCCGCCATTCTAGCAGCGTCATCCCAGCATATTGTTAACAATAGTTGAAGATTATTAACAATAGTT